TACCTATTTATCTACTTGCAATTTCTTGCTTTCGAACTGCTAGGTTGGCAGGAGCTGGAACTAGAGACGGGAGCTCACTCCGTCATGCGGCGCACTCGGGTCTCGAACTGCTGAACTACCAACCTTCCACAGCCTGCAGTTCAGCGTCTTAACCACTTGAGCCACCGCAGCTCCTTACAAAGGAAGTAAATAAATACAATTTCCCTACGTATTAGTAGCTTTCAGAGACAGAGACTTATTTAATTATTAAAATATGTATTACAGACTGCCTTTCCCTTTGGCTTAAGGTAGCTTCCCAGGTTCTCCAAGATGATATTGAATGTGCAAACATGGTTGATCCCCCCCCCCCTCCGCAAACTGAAGACATTTTTTTTCCCGTTAGCAAACATGGTTTTAACTTGGTCAAACGTTAGCCATTTTTGGCACAGACGCCACAACGACAGAAATAACTATGAACGGAAATCTCGGGCGCACCTCACCGAGAGTGCAAATTGCCTTTTCTTTCTGCCCATGAAGGGAATTGGCACAGGCCAATCTGCAGTAGAAAAAGGCGCTCTATGTAGTACAGAAGTGACTCAAAAGACTGCAGCGTCGTCCTCTTTTATTATTCCTCCGATTATCGGGCACAGGGAGCAACAAAGATCTGGTCTACCTTTTTCACGTATATACAGGGAGCGGTACCTGTCACTTTAAATACTTTACAAGTTCAGGCCACTGGCTGTACAAGTGCTATTTATTGCGCATGTTTCCATGGGGACTGGACAGCAGCCTCCCACACGTCAAACCACCGGTCCTGTTTCTTTTTCCTTTTTGCAGTAAAGCAGCAAGGTTTTCTTTCCTTGTTGTAACGGGTGGATAAGCAGTTTTACATTTCAAGGGAAACTATTATACACCACAAAAGAAAAGGGATACTATACATCAACGTAAGAGCAGAGCATGTATATGGGAACCAGGTACATTCGTTCGCTGGGATGCTGGTGGGTCTGGCCCCCCCAATCCTGGGACAGCGACAGCATATGGTTCCTGCTAAAGCCCAGCTGGGAAAAAGTCCAAAGGTGTTCTTCTCCTTCCATTTTTTGACAACCACCACAGAGTTTCGCTAGGAGGATCGCTAGAGAGATACTTCTGGAAACCTTCCCCCCCCCAGTATTTCTTTGGAGGTGACTTTACCCCACTGATTTTAAGAAGCGGTGGGGCTGTGTCGTGGATGGATGTCTCCAGTTTTTTCCCCTACTCGGGAGAAAAGCAGGGGAGGAGACAGAGTCCTCTTTCTTTGATTATGAATGGACAGCATTCTCTATGACGGAGTCACTGCCTACAAAATCCCGCAAATGCGTTGCCGACAAAGGAGGCTGCTCTTCTGAGCCCCGTGCTTCTTGCTGGGTTTCTTCCACGACTGACTCCTGTGCGTTGGCGTCTGGACTGGAGGGGGTCTGGGCATTGGGCTCAATGACTAGTGGGTCGCTGGACCGCAGAGGAAGCAGGGCCTTGTGCCTCATAAGGCTGTCGTCGCTGTTCTGGGCTTCCAAGGAGTTCCTGTGCTTTGCGTTTCGGCTGGCCACCGCGTTCTTCTGGTGCTCCTCAAAACTCAGGGAGAAGGTGACAGTCCCACCACCGAAACTCACTTTCTGCTTGCACCCATGTGGCTGTTGCTGCTCTGTGGGAGCAGCTAGGGCAAAGGGCTCTTCGTGGTTGCTTTTGCTGCTGACGGATGAGGAAGGGGTGGAGCCCGTGGAGCCCCCGAGGCTGTTGGACCTCTTGCGTGACACGTTGCTGCGTCTCAGGGTGGCCCTGGCCGCCACCTTAAAGGCGTGGGCGGCGGTACTGCAGCGCACCTCTTCGATGGTGTTGCGGGAGGGCTTGAAGAGGATGATGTAGACCTTGTTGAAGAAGATGCAGGCCAGCTGGCCGAAGCTGGCAGCCAGGATGGCGATCACCTCCACGGCAGAGACAAACTTGCCGTAAGTGCTGGCGTAGGCTGGGATGAAAGAGATCCAGACGATGAAGAAGATCAGCATGCTGAAGGTGATGAATTTGGCTTCGTTGAAGTTCTCGGGCAGCTTGCGGGATTTGAAAGCGAAGAAGAAGCAGATGGCAGCCAGGAGGCAGGTGTAGCCAATCAGGAAGCCCAGAGCCATCAGCGAGCCTTCGTTGCAGGTGATGAAGATGATCTCATCCTCCAACTCGTGGTTCCGGAAGCTGGATGGGGGAGCCGTGTAGAGCCAAATGACACAGATGACGATCTGCACAAATGTGCACAAGAAGACCAGGAGGAACTGCAGGTTGAGGCCCCACCATTTGCGGTGGAGGCTGGTGGGGATCTTGGCCTCAAAGACCAGGAGGACGCGATTGGTCTTCACCAGGATGCAGGAGATGCAGAGGACAAAGCTGATGCCAAAGGCGGGCTGCCGCAAGCGGCAATTCCAGTCCTGGGGCTCGCCAATGAAAAAAAGGGAACTGGAGAAGCAGCACAACAAGGAGAAGAGGAGGAGGTAAGAGAGTTCGCGGTTGGTGGCCTTGACGATGGGGGTGTTGCGGAATCTGGTGAAGACGCCCAGGACGAAGGAGGTCAGGAAGATGCCGAGCACAGCAAACAGGGTGAGGGCGATCCCGAATGGTTCCGTCCAAGACAGAAACTCTATCTGCTTGGGAGTGCAGAATGTGTGGTTTTCATTGGACCAGAAGTTTTCAGGACATTTCTCACAAGCGCTGGCGTCTGCAAGGAGACAAGACATTCGGTCAGAGGAGAAGGCAAGGTCTGAAGGGCAACGTGTCTCTTTCCAAACCTTCTGCATACGACATGTTCTGGGTTGACTGATTTTAAAAAAATGGGTTTATGGGTTCAGTCGGCAGCCCAGAGTTAAACACAAAGGGCACAATCCACCAGGATTTTCCCTGCACAAGAGGTAGTACTCTCACATGGCAGCTATTCATTGCCATGCTTCTTGTACAGGAGAATTGGGCAATGTTGCTCAACATCAATTACAAATTGGATCGACTGGGTTACTTATTGTCAATCTGGTCCCATTTTTTATTATTCAGAAAGATAAGAGGGGCAGGGGATGATCTTTTCCTAGTGTAGGTTGGAGTGTTAAAAGCTCCCTTTGGAAAACTGACATGCCAGGAAACGTAGAGCACAACTCCACTTTTCCATGGTGTACCCTCTAGGTAACACTGGATGGTTTATGGTCTGGGGCAGTGATACTCTGTATTCTTGGTGCTTGGAGGGCAACAGTGGGAGGGCTTCTGGAGTTCTGGCCCTGCTGGTGGACCTCCCAAAGGCACCTGGGTTTTGGCCACTGTGTGGCCATTGGCCCGATCCAACATGGCTTCTCTTATGTTCTCTTACATCCTCTTACCCGCTGACCTGGGTTCCCAGAAATGTTTGTTCAGTTATTAAATCTATACCCCAATACCCCAACTTATAGGGTCTTAACGGAACCAAATCACTTCCCCCATATGACCTGCTTCCCACCTGTTCCTAGAAGCAAAGAGCATCTCACCTTTAACCTCTCCCCACACAGAGCCTTCCCCCCCCTTTATACACACTCCCATCTCATAAATATGTCTGGAATTGTGCTTCTGAAGCAACATGCAAAGGTTGTTCCCATGGCCTTTGCAGTTTCCCGTCCTTATCCTGGCTCCCCACAAATGTGCTTTCATCCTCCAGCCTCCTCCATCAGTGGCTGGAGATGTTACACTGGGTTGCCGAGCAACCCCCCAAATGGCAGCTGAGAGCTTACAACCTAGTATCACGAGATTTCAATTGATAATTCTTTCCGTACATTTTGCATGGCATCACTTTTGCAGTCTGGGGGCACACTGTGCCCCCCCCAATTGATTTTAGTAAGTTTTAGATTTTTTGTCAAATGTGAGCAATGTTCCCTCTAAGCTGTGGAGTCTTGTGAGCCAAAATTCTACTTTGTGAGCTACTGGCGTTAAAGCTGTGAGCCAGTGATTTGCTCACAACATAGTATCACGAGATTTCAGTTGATAATTCTTTTTGTATACTTTGCATGGCATCACTTTTGCAGTCTGGGCCTAGCAACCCCCAAAATGGCAGCTGAGAGCTCACAACATAGTATCACGAGATTTCAGTTGATAATTCTTTTTGTATACTTTGCATGGCATCACTTTTGCAGTCTGGGGGCACACTGTGCCCCTCCCCCAATTGATTTTAGTAAGTTTTAGATTTTTTGTCAAACGTGAATCTTCCCTAATTTCCCAATGGTCTCATTATGCAGATGTTTACACCTTTAAGATTAGCTAATTTTTATCTTTAATCTGAAGCTTTTATAGGCCATTAACTTTGTTATCATTCTGATCCCTCATTTTGGGGCACAAAAAGGGCACCTGAGCCTCTAAGAGATGCAAGTCGGGGTGCTACCAGTCTGCAGGGTGGATTCACATGATAGGACACATGATAGGACACCCCACACTGAAAACAGGCCTGTCAGGAAGAAGGCGAGGTGCAGCAGACTCCCGGTCATGGTCATTTCCTGTCTGCAGAGAATTCCCCCCCCCCCATATGGAGGAGCATTCCATGTGGGGAGGGGCCCTGCCTGCTATCTGAAATGGGTCTGCTCAAAAACAGGATGAATGCCTGGCTGAGGCAGAGATTGCCCTGGGGCATATTCTTCCAGAGGTTGTATTTTCTTGGATGACAAAACCTGAGAATGAACTCCAGTAAATATTAAAACCAAATAGGTGGGAAAATTGCAAGGACTCCCTGGAGGAGAGAAAATTCCACCCCCTCAGGCAGTCCCCACTCTCTACCCTTTAGTTTTTCCTTTTCTCCCCACCAGGCCCGTAGTCAGGATTTTAAAAATAGGGGCCCCCTGAAATTCACGGCCTCCCCTCTCCGCTTCTCCCTCAAGGCATTTAAAGGGACCCTTTAAATGCTTTGGGGAGAAGTGGGGGCCATGCACCTGCACTCCAAGCCAAGAATTCATGGCTTGGAATGCAGGCATGCGTGACTTCCCCCCGCTTCTTCTCAAAAGTTGTGGGGTCCTTGGGAGGAAGTGGGGGGGGCTAGGCCCTAGGAGCCCCCACCACAGCTATGGGCCTGCTCCCCACCTATATCCAGCCTCCCAACCTCCTCTTTTGAGCCCTGTCCCCTAATCAGCAATTTGGCCAGTTTTTCTTACCTCCTCGCCATTTTAAAAAACTTTTTTCAGGGTTTCTTCCCTCCTTGCAACTTTTACACATGCATGATTGTACCATTACTTTTGGAGGAGAATTAACCCCCGTCCCAATTCTTTTTTATGGGTTTATATCCCCCCCCCCGAAACTCTCCTATCCATTCACAGCCCCCTTATGCCAAATTTTTGATCCACAGGGTTTGGAATTAGATATATGAAGAAGTGGGGCTGAGAGAGATCTTTCCAGAATTGCCCTTGAAAGAACAGCTCTGAGAGAACTTATGGCTGACCCAAGGTCACGCCAGCAGCTGCATGTGGAGGAGTGGGGAATCAAACCTGGTTCTCCCAGATTAGAGTCTGCGCTCTTAACGGCTACACCAACTGGCTCTGTGTTGGAGGGAGCAGACTATGTAGCATTTCTACCAAAAGGTTTGAAAGACGGGCTCATCTTAGAACGGATCTCAGAAAAACAACTTCATGGCTCCGTCTAGGGGAATGTCTCTCAGTGGAAGACAAGGCTGCGTTCTCTGCCTGCATTGGCGCATACCTGTCTCATCGCTGATCTCCCCATCGGTACATTCTACGCATTCAAAGCAACACGTTGGCTCTCCCTCGATGATGCCTTTCCTCGTGCCCGGCTGGCAATCTCTGCTGCAGTTGGAGAAGGGCACCTGCAAGAAGACAAATAACCTGGTGAGCTTGGGAAGGGCATGACAAACGGGCCGAGTTAACGGTTGCCAACCTCTAGACTGGGAAATCCCTGGAGCCTCAGCTAAGGATAATGTCAGAGAGTCCAACCTCCAAAGCAGCCATTTTCTCCAGGTGAACTGGTCTCTGTTGCCTGGGGGGGGGATCACTTGTTCATTCCAGGAGCTCTCCAGCCCGCCCTGGAAACCCTAGGCAGAGTGTTCAGTTATTCTCTATCATTGGCTTCCATATGTGGACCTGCCAGATGGTGAGTCTCCTCACATAGTGGAGGGATAGGACTATTCCCCCTTCCCTCCATGAATCATGTATCGTCCTGTGTGAGGCAAGAAGCTCCAGATGGAGGCCTTTCTCACATGGGGTGGATACCCGTGATTTTTCGCTCTCCCCCCAAAAAGGGGAGGAAGGGAGAAAGATGAAGGTCATAGTGAGTGGGTCGGTTTAACTATGGATATTTATGGCCAAACCTGCCCCACATGTTATATGTGGGAGGGAGGGGGCACCCCTTCTTCTTCACCACACAACAAATATAGAAATGAGCCCTCAGAGTCCTGGATGGATCTGAGTGAATCAACGTAATGGTGGTCTTGGTACCAGTGTGGACTTGGAGCATTGGGGTATGCCCGATCAGCGAGGAACACTGGCAACTTAATTCCAGAGAGGTAGCTGTGTCCACTGGTTGCGACAGGATTAAAGAACAAATTGTTCTTTACCACCAGTGACGCTGTAGATTTAGCACGTTCCCTGATAGCTAATTGCTGCAGCAGTCAACCTATTGTACTGCCACTGATCCATACGGTATTTATATTGTGTTACAGAGACAGAGTGTATTCAAAATCTCCGGAGTGTCCCATAAGAGCATAAGAGAAGCCAATGTTGGATCAGGCCAATGGCCCATCCAGTCCAACACTCTGTCACACAGTGGCTAAAAATACCAGGTGCCATCAGGAGGTCCATCAGTGGGGCCAGGACACTAGAAGCCCTCCCACTGTTGTCCCCCCCCCCCCAAGCACCAAGAATACAGAGCATCACCTGCTCCAGCCTGTGAGTTCCTATCTATACCTTGTGGCTAATAGCCACTGAGGGACCTCTGCTCCATATGCTTATCTAATTCCCTTTTGAAGCCGTCCATGCTTGTAGCCGCCACCACCTCCTGTGGCAGTGAATTCCGTGTGTTAATCACTCTTTGGGTGAAGAAGGACTTCCTTTTATCTGTTCTAACCCGACCGCTCAGCGATTTCATTGAGTGCCCACGAGTTCTTGTATTGTGAGAAAGAGAGAAAAGTATGTCTTTCTCGGCCTGCTCTATCCCACACATAATCTTATAAACCTCGATCATGTCACCCCCTCAGCCGTCGTTTCTCCTAGCTAAAGAGCCCCAAGCGCTTTAATTCTAAGAAACCCTGCTGTGGTTTACAGGGGACAGATGTCGGAAAATTACTGTGAGATCTTGAACATATACTGAGTCATCGCAAGATGGCAGTAGAAGTCAAAGCTGCAGACTTGAATTAGTGGTCTACGGTTCTTAGCACTGTCAAAGAGAGACTGAAGTTGTGAAAACTTATCATCGGCCGAGGACAACCAAAATGAGGCCAGTTCGTTGATCAGGAAAGAGCAAGGGGCTGACCTCATTGCCTGTTGCTGCCTTCCTTCGAAAGGGTTACGATGACTGTGAAAGTAAGAACACCAAACAACAGAGAGTCTTAAATTAGCATCCTTGCGTCCTCCTTCGTTCATTTCTAGGGGACACCCAGGAAATAAATGTAGACTCTGTATGCCATTTAGAACAAGGGGTCGCCAATCTTTTGGAGGCTGCAGGCACCACTGGAACCCTGACGCAGGGAGGTGGGCCCAGCTGCAAAATGTCTCAAAAATAACTGCTTGCCAAAGCAGTGTTTTTAAAAGTCTGCACAGCCAAGTAAAAGCCTGGCTGTGCAGAAGCCCCTCCTGACCCTGCCAACTTTTTAAAAACACTTGGTGGGCACTGGGCACCAGGAAAGGTGTCAGCGGGCACCCGTGGGCACCACGTTGGGAAACCCTGCTTTAGAAGAAGAGAAGAAGAAGAAGAGATTGGATTTATACCCCGCCCTTCACTACCCAAAGGAGTCTCAGAGCGGCTTACAAACTCCTTTCCCTTCCGCTCCCCACAACAGACACCCTCTGTGAGGCAGGTGGGGCTGAGAGAGCTCTGACAAAAACTGCTCTTTTTCAAGAACAGCTCTTATCAGAACTATGGCTTGCCCAAGGTCATCCAGCCAGGTGCAAGAGGAGGAGTGGGGAACCAAACCCGGTTCTCCCAGATTAGAGTCAGCGCACTTAACCACTCCACCAAACTGGCTTTAGAATATACCTGCTGATTAAATTACATTCCTGCAACAACTAGACTTGCTATCAAGACTATTTCCTAGTTTAGATACTTCGTACTTTAAATGCCTAATATTTAATTTGTGCTGCTATCATCAGGTATTTTTTTAAAAAACAGTCGTGTGGATAAGCCCCGCCCACAAGCCAAAATATAAATTGGATGATCTACTGATAGATCAGTGTGGTAATGAAGAAGTCGGGGTGGGGGTCCAAAATGGCACAATGAAGACTTCAGTGGAAAGACCTCAGTGCATTTTAAACAAAAGCCCTCTTCTCTGGAAGGCTGATGTCAAAGATTCAAGAGAAGGAGAGATTGTAAACCAGATTCACATTAAAAATATACTATGCGCGACAACCAGTCGTACTTCGCATGATGTCATTACACAGGAACGCATAATGCCCAGGCTGCAAAAGGCTATTTGATGGAATCTTTTAAAAGGATGACAACTCTTTTTATGTATTATATGTTTTTATGTGTAGCAAAAAAAGGAAATTTGATTTTAAAAAATTGACTTTGTTTTATTACCTGTATATTTTTCATGTAATAGTTTGTTTTATATATGTTGGGGACAATATAGGATGAATGGTTAATGTGCACAACAGCCAGCCATTGTGCACATTCACCATGGCTCATGGAGACTGGGTGCATCATCTGTCCACCACGAAGAAGGAACTGTGCACCTATACATAAAAAGGTAAAGGTTTCCCTTGCTCAAAGGCTACTTGAATCCGACTCTAGGTAGTGGTGTTTATCTCCGTTTCAAAGCCGAAGAGCCAGCGCTGTCCGAAGACGTTTCCGTGGTCATGTGGCCGGCATGACTAAACAGCAAGGCACACAGAACACTGTTACCTTCCCACCAAAGCGGTACCTATTTATCTACTTGCAATTTCTTGCTTTCGAACTGCTAGGTTGGCAGGAGCTGGAACGAGAGACAGGAGCTCACTCCGTCACGTGGCACTCTGGTCTTCAGGGGGTCTGCAGCTCAATGTCTTAACCTCTGAGCCACCGCAGCCCCTGCACCTATACGTACCCTCCTCCTGCATATCCCAGGCTCCACCCCCAAATCTCGAGGAATTTCCCAATCCTAACCTCTCTGGAAAAGGACAGTAAATAAAAATTCAGGGCAACAGGTGTCTCTCACCTCCTTGGAGAATCCACTCCACAGGATCTTGTTTTCACTGATAAAGAGCCTTTCTCCCTTCTTGGCGTAAACATTGTAGTGTCCGACCTCCTCAAAGACAATGGAGCCGTCTTCTGGGGACAGGTGCCAATTGATAATGGAGTAATTCCCTATCAGGCCCCCGGACTCATCAAAATCCACTTGCTCCCCCATATTATTTGTGAAGTTCAAGTGCCGCAGATGCTTCAGTACCTGGAGAGAAGGAGATACAGACATGCTGTCACCTGCCACCATTGATATTTGTGTCTCCTGGAAAGCTCAAACCTTTTGGTGCCAAGAAGGAAAGCTGTAAAAGACTTGAAGTAAAGCAATATTTGTGAAGTTCAAGTGCCGCAGATGCTTCAGTACCTGGAGAGAAGGAGATACAGACATGCTGTCACCTGCCACCATTGATATTTGTGTCTCCTGGAAAGCTCAAACCTTTTGGTGCCAAGAAGGAAAGCTGTAAAAGACTTGAAGTAAAGCAAGAACATGGGATTAGTTGATGCTGCTGCTGCTGCTAGAGTGACCACTTCACAGAAATCATTACACTTCCTTTTGGAATCTACTGTATAGTATCTTCATTTGGAGTACTGTGATCTTCTAAATCACTAGTCTTTCACTGGGTCTTTATCTGAGATCCAGTCTAGATGATATAGTCATTGCTTGGACACTTGTTTTCATGTAACACATCTGTTAGTTTAAAAGACTTACCATGGCCCCAGTCACACGGGCCAGATATCACGGGAGGGAGGCATGGCTGTTTGCCCGGCAGCGAAATAACGCGCGACTGCACAAACAGGCGTCCCCTTGCGGTCCTGTCGAGGTCCCGTGGTTAGGGGGGAGGTGCTGATCACACGACGTGCCAAAGAAGCGGCACGGCAAACGGGGTTGTGTGGTTTTTTTTTTAACCTTAAAGTATGTGCATGCCCCGTTGGGTGCTTGTGTGCATCCCTGAAGACTTCGGGGGGGGGGGGGACTTTTTCTGATG